TTTTTTTTGACACTTAGTGTACCTTTACTGATCAACAGTCCAGAGAAAAATCCCCAAGTCAAAATGAATCCTTTTCTAACAGACCAAAGGTGAAAAATGTTTACACCCAAAGTTTAGATTGAAGAAATGAACCTGAAAGGATAATAGGTACACATGGGTGAATATCTGTGTTTTGAATTAAAAGGCCTGAATATGATAGAAAGCCCAGTTGATCAAATGGAAGACAGATAAATTTGATCACACGGAAGCATGGAAACTTCTAAGCAGACAAAAAATAAACCAAAAGGGAAACTCTATTACTTATTGAGAAAAGACAACAATGAATTTTCCTAATGCCCTGTTAGAAAAAAATGAGAAAGGGAAGAAAAACAGAAATAGAGAAAATGGAATCCAGTCACATTGCTCATGAAATAAATTCAAGTAACTTTCTGGAGTTTGAAATAATAGTAATACACAACAATCTCATATTCTGTAGAAGCATATGTTAAAGAAAGCAACTTAATATTCATGAAAAGTCTCCTAAAATTTTCTACATTTTACTTACTAGTTCCACTTCCATGAAACTTTAAGGAAATTAACTCCTTCAACATTCAACACATATTAACCAAACATCAATTGTGTACTAGGCCCTATGTTGAGTATAGTGAGATAAGGGAGAAATAGTGGCCTGGTTTATCAGAATGGAACCTCCCTTAGGAAATCAGGCAAACATTTCAATAGGAAAATTTACAAAGGAAATTTAAAAATTAGATAATAGGACCACCAATGCTGGCTGGCTGACCACACCCACTGCTGGAAAGATTAGGCAGGCACTGCTTTTCTATCCATTTGATAGTTGAGGTTTGGAGATTACAAATGAAGCTGCTATAAACTTTTTTTTAAATTTTATTTTATTGTAAAGATGCTATACAGAGGGATTACAGTTACATGAGTAAGGTAATGAGCACATTTCTTGTTATAAACATTTACATGTATGTTGACATGAATAGAACCTTTTCTTTTTGTTTGTTTGCTGGTCCAGAGCTGTCTCTACCTTTTTGTGATCAAGGCTAGCACTCTATCATTGGAGTCACAGTGCCACTTTTGGCTTTTTCTGATTAGTTTATTGGAGATAAGAGTTTCACAGATTTTCCTGCCTGGCTGACTTTGAACCACAATCTTCAGATCTCAGACTCCTGAGTAACTAGGATTATAGGTGTGAGCCACTGGTGCCCAGCTATGAATAGGACTTTTTAATTCACTTGGGTAGATAAATGTCCAGGAGCCTAATTGCTGGATTATATGCTAAGATTATACATTTAACCTTGTAAAAACTACCGAATTGTTTTGCAAAGTATATCATTTTGCATACCCATCAGCAATAAATGAGAATATGTTACTTCACATTTTTTACAGTGTTTTGTTATTATCAGTTTCTAAGAAATCAATTTACAAATTTTTGCTTTGCCTAGAATAACTAAACATCAAAAATCAATCTATAATGTTAGTAATGGTATTACTATAATAAATACCAAAGGAAAGCTTGAAAGTTCTTTCATTAGGTAGATGTAATGATTGAGAAAATTTATACTTTCTTCCAGGAGAGCAGAATCTGGCACCCAGGAAGTGCTTAGCAAATGATTCTTTTCTCTTTTCCCTTCCCATCTTGAGGGAGCTCTGCTTTCTCAAAAGCAAAAAGGAAAGAGGATTTTCTTTTTCCTTTGGGCCTGAACTTGGGGCCTTATGATCTCACTTAACTTTTTCACTTAGGCTGGTATTCTACACTTGAGCCACAGCTTCATTTCTGGCTTTTTACTAGTTAATTGGGGATAAGAGTCTCTTGGATTTTAATTCCTGGGTTCCAGGCTTCAAACTGCAATTCTCAGATTTCAGCCTCCTGAGTAGTTTGGATTACCAGCAAAAGCAACCAGCATCCAGCAGGAAAGGGAATATGATGGTGCACTTTCAAGTATCAGCTATTGGAAAGAAGGTCATTTATTCAGGACACTTGGTTTTTTAACACATATTTCCAGGTACATTTCAAAGTGGGGCTTCTATTGTGTGGAAGATAGCTTATGAATTAAGGTCAAGGTCCTCACTCTTCTCAGTTTTCCACAACTGTCTAGTAGGAGGCAACTAAGGAAGATTGGAAGGCAGAATGGTAGAGAAGAGACTGATGTTCTGGTAATGGAACCTTAGTACTAGCAGCAGAAGGTTGATCCAGCAGGTGCAACTGGTTTTCTCTTCCTTTTGGGAATCTAGGACCAGTCTCACCAGATTCCCCGAGTTATCAGTAATACCAACAGAACCCCATCCTGTAAGCTCTGAGTTCTAGCTCCTGGGGAATCTCCTCTGATCAGTTATCTCTCTTGTCTTCCAGTCCCGGGCTGGGGGGGGAGGACAGAGGTGTGTGACAGGCTGGGGGGGGGGGGGGAAGGGGGCCGGTGTAGATAGCTGGTTCCTGCTGTTACTTTGTCTAAATAAACTCAGCTGCCTTTTATGTTCTTTCAACCTGCCAACTCGTACACCATCAATTCTGTCTACTAAATTCTTTTTTCGGGGGCACTACTTAGTATGTTAATTTTTTTACTTTGTTCTTAGATTCTGACATTTAGATTTTTTTTCTCTCCTTTTCTCTCACTATTAAAAACAATGTTGCAAACCATGTGCTGGTGGCTCATGACTGTAATCCTAGCTACTCAGGAGGATGAGATCTGAGGATTGTAGTTTGAAGCCAGTCCAGGAGCGAAGTGTGTGAGATTCTTATCTCCAAGAAACCACTAAAAAGCCAGAGGTCTGTGGCTCAAGTGATAGAGCATCATCAGCCTTCAGCAAAAAAGCTAAGGGACAATACCCAGACCCTGAGTTCAAGCCCCAATACTGGCACAAGCAAACAAATAACACCAACAAAATAAACAATGCTGCAGTACCTTTGTGTGAGTCTCCGGGTCTACATAAGCATTGTCTTATCTTCTGTCTGTTCCAATCCCCTCCCACCAAGTATAAGTCACTTCTTGCTCAATAGTACCTGTTCTTCCTAGGATAGCCATTGCCCTAGAAGCATACTCTGGGACTCAGTCTTCCCTTATTGGCAAGAGCCACACAATAGTCATTTATAGTTTATAATTCAGATCTTTATTTTTCTTGTGTAAATATGAATGCATGCATAATTAAGATTTAAGGCTTTTGAAGTATGTGCACTTTGAGGAAACATTGCTAGTTAATATTTTGCTGATGATATGAGCTTAGATCTATGACTTTTAATAGACTTTCTAATCTGTATTTAAAAGTTAAAAGGTTAAATGACCTACAATAAATAATCAAATGACTTATAAGGAATGATCCATATAAATCTAAAATATATAATTGAAAATACAGCACCTTTTGCATGAACACTATTAGGGCTCGCTTATGTTGTAGAATATGGATTGTAACATTGGACTAGTTACTTCAAAATCGTCCAAGAAAAGTGGGAAATTTTGTTGAGGAGAGGAGGACAAAGAGGGAAAGAGAAAACAAAAGATACAGAACGAGGAGAGGAAGGAGGGAAGGAGGGAGAGAGGGAGGGAAGGAAGGAAGAAAGGGAAGGAAAGAGGGAAGAAGAGAGGGAAGGAGGAAAATAAGAAGAGAGAGAAAAGAGAGTATTGTGTAATTTGTAATGTGAATTTAAGTGAAGGATGGGATATTGTGATTATAATTTACAATTGCAGAACTCAAACTCATAAATGTTTAACAAAATGTTAGTGAATTCTATTTGCTAGTTTTTTAGAAGCTACTTTCTACAATCTCCAAGCTTTCCATTGGCTAAGAGAAGCCAATGGTTAAGAAGCTACTGGTTAAGAGTGTTACCTTAGGATGTAATTCCAAGGGGGCTTGAGCTTCTTCAGAGATGAAGGGGCCATTTACAAGAATACAACCTATGGGCTTATCTTCTAAAAGTCCATGTTGCTAGCTTTTTAAACTTAAGACACCATTCCAACCTCAAATTAACAAGTGCTACCCTTTGAGCTCAAACAATTCATTTCAGGTAGTTATGTGACCCTAGAAGAGAAGGCTTCGTCTCAAAGTGGAAGTAGGTCCAGTCTTCCTTGGGACTCTCAAGACCAGTCTCACCATTCAGTGTCCCTCCTCTTATATGGTATGAATCCTTGGGTTTGTCAAACATCTTCAAGTTCCTATAGTACCACTAAGGGCCAGCAGCAGCCCCTCTCAAAGGTCCAATCAAGTTCTAGGGTAAGGAGAATGGAGGCTGTCTTGAATCCCTTGCAAGAGAGGTGACAATATGGGCATAGTGTCCCAGTGACTGGATGGAAAGGAGTTTAGTTTGCTTCCCTGACTTGATGGGACTTCAAGTGTGACCTCTTCATCCCATAGAACTTCTGTCTTCTTGGCATTTTATCCAAAGCTGGGGTTTCCGGGCCCCCAGAGAAACACACAGGAGACTCCAGGTTCAGCAATATGCTCCATCCACTCTTTCCTGTGTTTGAATTACTTCCTTATACTTACATCTTCACAATTGGAGGATGGTAAAGTGATATTGGAGATGGGAAGTAGGAAGAGTGGCTAAATAAGCTTCCATTTATAAGAAAGTCACATCAAGAAGTTTAAATATCCCCTCATGGATTTCCTTTAAAAATAATTGGGCAGGTTGTAGTTGTGTGGGCCTAGCATTCCAGCTGCTTGGGAGGCTGACAGGGGTTCAATTGCTTGAGCCTGGGAGCTATGGGCAACACAATGGGACCCTACCTAAACAAAGATCATGATGACTAGAGTCCTATGTGTACACTCTATGTAACTGAACCCCCCCTGGACCTTATTTCAAAGTTTAGTTCTGCATACTTTCCCAAGGCTTGTCCCTGCGGTGTCACACAGACCTCACAACCACCTGGCACTTCCCTGGATCTGACATCCTAAGTGCCATTTTCTAGACCAAAGCACTCTCCTGCAGTCCCACAGTAGCTGCAGATACAGCATCTCACTGATAGAGGATCCTGAGACTTAGGAGTGGGGCACCCTCGTTTTCATTGTCCTGTGTCCCCAGTGTTTGCAGCATCCTCAGGAACCCTGCCATCGTCCAGGAGGCCACTCCCAGTCACCTTCACCTGGCTCTCCAGCTGGCTGAGGCGCTGCTTCACTTTGATCTGTGTGGCATTGTACTCGGCCAGGAGCCGGGCAAACCTGGTCTGCAGGGTATCCAGGGAGGACTCCAGGTGATCCACCTTCTCCTCGATGTCCTTGGGGTCCGCCCCAACCTTGGCTACATCCTCATCAATCAGATTGTCCTTCATCAGGATTTGCCTCCCTTTCTCCTCCAGGGCTTTTTTGGCATCAGGATATTCGGTGAGGGCTTCCATCAGATCATCCTTGGAGAGGCAGAACAGATCGGAATAACCAATGCTCCTGATGTTTGCTGTCCTGCGGTTCCCCGACTTGCTCCCCTTTATGTTTAAGATACTGATCTCCCCAAAGTAACTGCCATCACTGAGAACCACGAACTGGGTGATCCCATCATCAGCCACCACAGCCAGCTTGCCCTCCTTGATGATGTACATCTCCCTCCCGATGTCCCCCTTCTTGCAGATATAGTCCCCAGGGCTGAACACAGTGGGCCGCAGCTTTAGCACCAGCTCCACCAGCAGTCCCGCCTCGCAGTCCTGGAAGATGCGGACCTTCTTTAGGGTGTCCAGGTGCACGTTGATGGCGATCTCAGCCTTCAGCTTGTCTGGGAGGCTCTTGAGCACCTCCTTTTCATCCACTGTCTTTCTGTTGGCCCACAGGTAGTCAAACCACCGGATAACTCGTGTCTCCAAGTCTTTGGTCACCTTTCGGAATTGCATGTATTGCTTGATGGAATCAATCTTTGCCTGGAACTCTGCCCGGGAAGCATTCATGTTTGAGATCATGGAGCCCACGTTGCCCACAATGGTGGCAAAAATCAGAACACCCACCAGGAAATCTATGACCACAAAGAGATACTCTTCATCTTTCACAGGTGGTGGGGTCTCACCAATGGTAGTCAGGGTCAAGGTGGACCAGTAAAGACTGTAAATGTACTTCCTGGAGAGGCGTCCATATTCTGGCTTGGAGATGTTGGGGTATACCCAAGAGTCTGAGCCAAAACCAATGAACTTGGAAATGGCGAAGTAGATACAGGCATTCCAGTGGATGATGATGAGGATGTACAAGACCAAGTTCCCAATCCGAAACATATTGGGGTAGTTGGTCCTTGTCTCTGTGCGGTCAAAAAATTCGAAGAGCCGGGAAAACTTCAATAGGCGATTGAACCTCAGTTCTGGGTAGTTTATACCCAGCTTTAAATAAGCCAAGTCCGTGGGAGCCAGAGACAATACATCTAGCTTGAAGTGCAAAGACTTTGTGTAATGTTTCCATAGCCTCTTAGCATCCCTGACCATTAGACCTTGCTCGAGGAAACCTAAAGAAAGTGGAGTTCAGTTGGGCATCAGAAAGGCTTTTTAAAACTATGACCATGAAAAATATTCCCCATATATGTATATATATATACATATGTATGTATATATCTAGCCATACACAGTGATGCTCATATAATGAGAACACCTCTATTCATTCTGGAAACTTACCCTGATACTTGCTCTTCTATAATATTCTGATCTGTGCAATTAAAAATAATAGAACAGGGGCTGGGAAGGTGGCTTAGTGGTAGAGCGCTTGCCTTGCATGCCTGAGGCCCTCGGTTCGATTCCTCAGCACCACATAAGCAAAAAGAAAAAAGCCGGAAGTGGCGCTGTGGCTCAAGTGGTAGAGCGCTAGCCTTGAGCTGAAGAGCTGAGGGACAGTGCCCAGGCCCAGAGTTCAAGCCTCATGACCGGACCCCCCCCAAAAAATAATAGAACAATTAGGTAGCTTTGAAAATAGATTGGATATTAGATGCTGGCAAAGAATAATGGTTAAATGTAAGAAGATAACATGGAAATAAAACTTTTAATATATTTACATTTGATATATTTATAATTGATCTTTCATATACTCACTCTTTGGGGTTTTGTCACTTTTTTTTTAAGTATTGGGGTTTGAACTCAGGTCCCTGCATTTGCTAGGCAGATGCTATTCCACTTGAGCCACATGGCCCTGATCTTCTTTTATATACTCTGTGTGTGTGTGTGTGTGTGTGTGTGTGTGTGTGTATTCTGGGGCTTGGATTCAGGGCCTAACACTGTCCTTCAGCTTTTTTGCTTCCTTGATCTTTATATAGTCTTAAAAGTAGCCTTTAAAATTTTTTTATTTTATTGTAAAGATACTGTACAGAGGGGTTATAATTACATGAGTAAGGTAATGAGTACATTTCTTGTGGAGCATTGTTTCCCCCTCCTTTGTTGTTCTCCCACTATTCCTTCCCTCCTCTACCTCCCTCACTCCTCTCCCCCAAAGTTGTAAAGTTCATTTCCAGTATAGTGTCTTGTAGGTACCATTGTTGCAATGAAAAGTAGCCTTTTAAAGTTAGAGATCCACCTGGGCATCAGTGATTCACCTATAATCCTAGCTACTTAGGAGGCTGAGATCTGAAGATCACCACTCAAAGCTAGTCAAGATAGGAAAGCCCTTGAGACTCTTATCTCCAATTATCCACCAAAACCAAAACAAAAAGCAGAAATGGAACTGTGACTCAAGTGATAGTGTGTTCGTCTTGAGCAGAAAAAGCTACGGGACATCCCAAGTCCTGAGTTCAAGCATCTGTACCAGCACAATGAATAAATTAATTAGTTAATTAATTAATTTAGAGATTCAGGGTAAAGTGCTTACCATTTGGGACTTATATGAGAATATCCCAGACAAGAAAAGGGGGTGAGGATAGGGCAGATGAAACAAAATAGGCAGGAAGGTAATTCTTGAAGTTGGATGAGGATATGTGGGAGTTCACAATACTATTGCCTCTGCTTTTGTGTATGCTTGAAAATAAATAAAATTTAAAACATGGGTCAGAGTCCACTCAGTTGACTTCACCAGGGGGTGGGACAAGACTCACCTTTAAAAAAATAGTGCCCAGGGGTTTTGAAGTCACTTGAGCCACTTTTAAAGTAAAACAACCTGGGAGAAAGGCTGTACATTATGAGTCAGAGGCAGGGAGCAAAGAGACCATGACCTTCACATTTTAATTTTTATTGTTATTTACATCCCAAACATGGGCAAAAATAGAGAGAAAAGTGTAATGAATGCTTTTAAAATGTTTACTAATTATCAGCATGATCCTGAGGCACAGTGAAACAGGGCTGGGCCCACTGCTCCCTAGAGCAGAGTTCTGGGACAATTCTTGTAAGTACCAGGTACTGCTGCTGCTGGTACAAGGCCAGGCTTTGAGCCTAGCTGAGAGTGACTGCTTCTGAAAATAATGAACTTACATAGGTAAGTTCAAGCCCTGATTCTTTGTATTGCTCTTGTTTTACATATGTCTGTCAGTATCTGTAGTGGGACTGGTTCTAGGATTCCACTACCTCATTCCTACCTGTGGGTATCCAAATCCTAGATACTTTATGGATGCATTTGCATATGTCTTTGATTATAACCTGCACATATTCTCTTGCATACTTTAAGTGATCCTTAGATTTCTTTTTTTCGGGGTCTGGTTGTGGGGCCTGAACTCTGGGCCTGGGCGCTGTCCCTCAGCTCTTCAGCTCAAGGCTAGCACTCTACCACTTGAGCCACAGCGCCACTTCTGGCTTGTTTCTTTTTGCTTATGTGGTGCTGAGGAATCGAACCCAGGGCCTTATGCATGCAAGGCAAGCGCTCTACTACTGAACCACCTTCTCAGCCCTAGATTTCTTAAAATAGCTAATGCAATGTAAATATTATGCAGATAGTTGTGAGACTGTATGGGGTAGAGAAAATGACAAGAAAAAGCCTGAACATGTTCGGTATGGACATATAATTTTTCCAAATTTTCTTTTATTTGAATTTAGCTCTTATGCAGTCTCTGGGGATGCAGAGGGTCACCTCTGCCTGTGTTTATTGAGTGCCTAGGTACCCATGTAACACTCAGTGCCTCATCAGTTCTTTTAAGATTCTTCTGGGTTAGAGGTGTGGCTCAAGTGGTAGAGCACTGGCCTAGCCCCTATGAGGCTCTGAGTTCAACCCCCAAAATACATTATTTTCTCCATTCTGAATATTTTCCCCTTAGATTACGAACACTGGTTGGTTTACTTGCCTCTCTTTTTTCTAGCTTCCTGCTGAATCTGTTGCTGCTAAGGACAGCACCCAAGCACAAGAAGGGTGGAGTCAATTTGAGTGAGGGCATTTTGTCCCACCAAAGTTTGGCTGGGACCAAGGACAGTGGACCCAGTGAGCCACTCACAGACTCCTGTTTTTTTCCTGGCAGTACGAAGGGGTTGAACTGAGAGTTTCACACTTACTAGGTAGGTGTTCTACCACTTGAGCCATGCCTCCAGCTTCTTTTATCTTGATTGTTTTTGAGGTATGGCCTTGATTTATGTCTAGGCTGACCTGGGTTGCAATCCTATAAACACACATTACTGAGCCATTGTACTTCCCTTATAGCTGGGATAAAAGGCATGTACCACTGACTTCAGGAAAGTGACATGCTCCAGGGCTAGAGTGGGTCGCCCATCTGAGGCTTTCCTAAGCGGTCTTCTTGGGTGAACATGCATTGTCCTATAAGTTATGATGCTGGGCACCAATGTGGAATTAGGAGTGTCAGTCCACCATGCTGGGTAGTAAATGTGGATGTTGGGTTCGCAGAGTCCTTGGCCTTGATTTCTAAGTCAGTCTTGTTCTGATGCAGCACTTCTTTTTCAATTTCCTCACTTTTTTTATGCTGATACTAGAACTTGAACTCATGTCCTGGGTACTATTTTCACTTAAGTTGGCTCTCTACTACTTGAGCCACTGATTTACTTCCAGATTTTTGGAGATCAATTGGAGACAAGAGTCTCATACACTTTGATTCTCAGATCTTAGCCTCCTGAGCAGCTCAGATTAGAGATCCGAGCAACAAGTTCCCAGCTGGTTTGTAAATCAGCTTTGTAAAATCTTTGTAAATTCCTTCTATTATTTTTCCTTCCATTCTCACTTTCTTTTTCTCTTTCCCTCCCTTCCTTCCTTCCTTCCTTTTTTCTTTCTTCTTTCTTTCCTTTTTTTCTTTCCTTCCTTTCTTTTTACTCCTCTCCTTCCCTCCCTCCCTCCCTCCTTCCTTCCTTCCTTCCTTCCTTCCTTCCTTCCTTCCTTCCTTCCTTCCTTCCTCCCTTCCTTCCTTCCTCCCTTCCTTCCTTCCTCCCTTCCTTCCTCCCTTTCTTCCTTCCTTCACTCCTTTCTTGTATCACTTCTAAGGAGAAAGCAAGACGTGACTCAAATGCTTCATATACCCTGAAGCTACTCTGAGTGAGGTTTGTTGCTGTGATCTGGAGGTCTTTACACAGACAACTAGGGCAGTTTTTCATTCAAAAGTCTTGGAAGAGACAAGAAGGGTCTTTTCCATCTTAGTTAATATCTTTAGATCATTAGAGTCAAACATACAAGGAGCTGGATGTTGGTGGCTCACATTTAAATAATCCTATGTGGGAGACTGAGATTGGGAAGATCAAGATTCAAAGCCAGGCTGGGTGGAAAATTTCATAAGACTCCCTTCTCAACCCTTAGCTAGGACACACCTATCATCCCAAACTGTGTAGTTGTGGGCCAGCCCAGCCAGAAAAGTCCTTGATACTCTTAATTTCCCTAGAAGGAAGCAGGAGTATATCTGTGATCCCAACAACTATGAGAAGGCTAAAGTAGGCAGGTTGCTGTCAAGTTGTGCCTATGAGGAAGCAAGATCCTATCCTAAAATTAACCACTAACAAGCTAGAAGTGTGACTCAGAGCAGAGCACCAGCCTAGCCAATGTGAGGCCCTGAGTTCAATGCCCAGTTCAGAAACAAAAAGGAAAGAAGGAAGGAAGGAAAAAGGAAAGAAAAAAAAGAAAGGAAGGAAGGAAGGAAGAAAGGAAGGAAAAAAAGAAAGGAAGAAAAAAAGAAAGGAGGAAAGAAAAGAAAAGTGCACAAGGGCACACAGCTCCTAGCCGCAGATGCTGGTTGCTTTTAGTCCCAACAAGAAGTGATTTGGAGGAAGTCATTATTCCTCTAGGCCCTGTTTCAAGTTTGTTAGAATTCCTGAGTGCTATGGAATAACAGGTCCAGGAAGCTCCTAGTTTCTGGGATTGACTGGATTCTGCCTCACACTCCCAACATCTGAGTAGTGAGAGGGGGAGGGGTCCTTGGCAATTTCCTATTGGTTTTCTTTCACAGGTGACACAAAGGAAGCCTGGAGAGCCAGCTTGACTTGCTCAAGGCCACAGAGCTGATTAGGACAGCCTGACCCAGAACCCAGGTTTCCTGATCTCTGCTCATGGTCCTGTCCAGAGATAAGCATAGAGGGAAGAGGCTTCAGACCCAGCATTCACTCTTGTGGTTGGAGGGTCCTCTTGAGCATGCCCTATGGCCTGGCCCTGGGACTTTCCTGAGGCACACTTACCTGTTCGGGCACGCACCAGCATGTCCAGGCCATAGAGGACATCTGCTGAGTAGTCCAGGACCAGCCACAGCATCAGGTGCTCAGACTGAAGCTCATCAAAACAGGCCCTAACAAGCAGAGGGTGAGATGTGAAATGCCATTGTCACCATGGGCCACACCTGGCTCTGGGACAAACAAGGCTCATTCTATCTAGTAGGGGCCCTACCAGCAGGGCTAATACCCTGTGGAATTGGCCCAGGCTTCTGAAGAAGAGACCTAGGCTAGGAATTAGTATTCTGTTCCATGGTTACAGGGTCAAAATAAGAAAGTACAGCCTAGAATAGCTGTATAAAACCTCAAAAGAGCTGAGATTAACCTCAGAGGTATAGCTGCTCTGGCTTCCTTGGTTTAATCAGGCAAAAGAACTAAGGATCTGCCCTTTCTAGAGCAAAACAATAAAAATGTAAGACTGAGAGATTAACAATTGCACAGGCCAGCAAATATTTTCTACCTTTAATTTCTTTATGCTTCTTATTTTTTGCACAGACACCTTCCAAACTTCCCTTCTAGCTGGACAGAGCAGCAGCCTGCCCCTGGGACCCATCTTATAGATTGCTAAGAAACCCAAAGCCTCTCACCCACCAGAGGAAGAGCAGCTCATTCTGTGTTCTTAGTGCCTAGATAGCCCAACTCAGGGAACAACATTGCCCCCCTGTCCACTTGGTAGGAAAGGTCCCTTTCTCTCTCATGCTTTTTACCTGCTCTGAAAACCCGTAGGAACAGCTAGACATTGCCCTTGACTGGATAATCCCAGAAGCCTTCATTTACACTTGGACAGCATCAGCTCCCCTCTGCATTCCTATCACATACCATGGTCAGACTCTGCATTCTGGTCTTGCATGCTGGCTCAGAAAAGCCCCAAAGGTATGGTCATCCTCACAGAGCTGCATCCTACTGGTTCCCACAGTATGCTCAGGGGAGACCCCCTATCTATCCGCACTGCCTCTGGGAAGTACAAATCTTCATCTTCATGCCAGTCTTGCAGGCTTGCTTAGGAATGCCTCTAAGCTCTCTGCCTACCCATGGAGGAGCATTGTGCCCTGCTCACACCCTGCAGACTTTCTCAGAAATGCCCCAAGCTCTTGTTTGCCCACAGCAGAGGGGGTGCATGCCTGCATCCTTGTCTGGCAGCATGCTCATGAATATTAACATGCTGGTTGGCCCTTAGAAGAACATGGCTTCCTGTAGCATCCTCATCCTGAAGCTTGCTCGAAAGCCCAAGCCCCCAGCTTCCCTGCAGAGAGGCAGAGTCCTGCTCCTGACATTCATAAACAGCCAACTTCCAGGAAAAGTTCCTTCTTGTGCTTATTAGAAAGTCTCAGCTCACTCCTGTGTCTCCAGACTGCAGGAGGCTCCAGAGATTCCGAAAGCCCCTGCTGATCCTCAGAAGAGAAATGGCTTTCTTGAAATCCGGAAGGACATGCTTGCCTAGAATTCCCTCCGAACCCACATTCTCTTCCAATAGAGTGGCAGGGTGTCCCCTGCATTCCAGTGGAGCAACCTGTTTAGGTTCCCCAAAAGCCTACTGCCCACTCTCACAGAGTAATGCTTCCCTTTGGTGCTCAGAAGAGCAGTGTCTCACCCCTGTCTCCTATCACGGCCTCAAAGTGCCAGAACCCTCCCATTTCACCTCAAATTCAGCTCTCCAACAGTGATTCAAAGTGTCCTGAGAGCCCTGCCTATTCTGTAAATGGAGAAACAGAGGCAGGAGAGCTATATGGTGGCTGTGGTGGAATCAGAACTCTGGTCTTCTAGGCCAGCTGTCCTCAATTCTTCTGCTCCTCTTGCCTGGCCCTCCTCGGGTGAAGTTACTGCTCCTTTACCTACCTGCACACAAGCAGACACCAGTTATAGAAGACTGGCAGGGCAATCATAGTCAGCCAGCGGTAGTAGATGTTGCTGGAGGGGTCTACCACAATAGTGTCCTTCTTCTTTCTGGAAATACAGAGCTGTACCATCAGTTCAGTTGGGTTGAAAGGTTCAGCTTTGTAGAGATTTAGTGACCTGGATGCACTTAGAGACCTGAAGCTCCATAAATGGCTGTCTGTGACAAGATTCGGTCAGCCTCAGGGGGCCCCACAGAATACCTCTCTATGGGAAGATAGGCTGGAAGCCAGGGTAGACTTACAGGTCCTTTCTGCCCAACTCAGCTGCCAGTTGACTAGAAAACTATAACAATGACATACCTACATATCCTGTGGCCACATCATTGCCCTTCAAGATGCTGGGAATGAAACCATAGTATAGCAACGCCACTGATGGCTGGTGGGAGCACTGGAACCATCTTGGGGAGCTTGGTTAAAATGCTGATTCCTGGGGCCCACCCATCCCCCTTCCATCTGGGGCCTGGAAATGTGAATGTAAGCATTGCTTGATATTTCTGAGGCAGTTCTACTCTACTGAACTTGGGAAACTTGGAATGTGCTCCTGGGGACCCTCTCCATCTTGTTCATTGCATTTTTGTGCTGAGATAAAGTTACTGATATTAATTTCCTCCTCCTCCTCCTCCTCCTTCTTAGTTGGCCATGAGGCTTAAACTCAGGGCCTGAGTGCTATCCCTACACTTTTTGCTCAAGGTTACCATTATACCACTTTGTGCCACAGCTCTACTTCTTGTTTCTAGCTGGTTAATTGGATAAAAGAGTCTCATAGCCTTTTCTGCCCAGGATGGCTTTGAACTGTAATCCTCAGATTTCAGTCTTCTGAGTAGCTAGGATTACATGCGTGATCTACCAGCACCCAGCATGGTTTCATTATTCTTATTTATTATTCCTAAAACATGAGATAAACCTTCTTATTAAGTATATCTTGAGAAATTATTGGTACAATTTAATGTCCTACAATTTCTGGTCTACTATTATGAGCTCTTAGTAAGTCACAAATAGCCAGAGACTGGAGACATGGAGGTAATGGGTGATGACCCTAAATTTACACCGTGGAAAGTCCCATGGAGTTTGAGAAGTGGCATATTCAGAATGTTGTTCTGAAGGAAAGGGTTGTCCTCAAAACCTATTTCAGGATCAAGTGAAAACCTGGGAGGACACAAAGAAAACCAGCCAGGAACCAGTGACTCATGCCTGTGATCCTGATTACTCAAGAGACTGAGATCTAAAGATCATGATTCAAAGCCAACATGGGCAGGAAAAGATGTAAGGTTCTGAATCTTCAACAGACTTTGCCTAACAAAGCCCTGAGGTAATAGGCAAAAAAACCCAAAAACCCAAAACAACCAAACAAACCCACATGTTATAAGCCAGGAAACTTGCCCGAGATTCTAAAGGTCTTAGGAGATTAGTTGGAATATGAATTCTCTGGACAAGTACACATATTAAACATATTTATTAATCTACTCCATTTATATACCTAAAAAAAGTTGGGGGCTATTAATGTGTTGGGGTCAGGGGCATTTAGCTCTGACAGCAGGATTTCACTGTTAACTGGTTTTTGTGTGTGTCTCTCACAGGTGCTTTTCTTGTTTTCCAGTTTGGGGGAATGAATATGTAAATAAAATAGTGCTGAATATAGGTCTGAGGATGCCTCTAACCAGGAGTCCTTAAATATGAAACTTCCCTTTGTAGAACTATGTGAAGATAATAAAATTAAAGTATTTTTTGAAGTATGGAATAACAATCTAATTTCATATGTAAACCAACCAAAAATGCTTGTTTAGGAACTTACTCATATTAAATAGTTATGTCTTGGCCAATCACAGCAGCTGAGCTTGTGTCAATCATTAGTGGCCAGCTGATGTGTGTGTGTGTGTGTGTGTGTGTGTGTGTGTGTGTGTGTGTGTGTGTGGGTGTGTGGGTGTGTGCGCGCGCGCACGCGCGCGCACAGTTCTGGAGCTGGAACTCAGGATCTAGGTGAAGTCTCTGAGCTTTTGTGTTCAAGGCTAATGCTCTCTACTTAAGCCACACCTCTACTTTCAGCTTTTCTTTCTTTTTTGGTAGTTAATTGGAAATAAGAGTCTCACAGATTTTCCTGCCCAGTCTGGCTTTTTACTGCAATCCTCAGATCCCAACCTTTTGAGTAGCTAGGGTTATAGGCACCTAGCTGCCAGATGATTTAAGTAAGGAAAATTGCTGACCCCTAGCCAAACAAGTTATCACTTCACCTTTCTTTTGTTTTCTGCCCCCAAATGCTGCTTGATCACATTACAGGCAGAGTTCTTAGTTTTGAGGGCTGCTTTATTCTGACATGGTAAATAAAATCCAGTTGTGCCCGACATTTAAAACAATGATGTATTTTGACAGTGGATAAGCATAAGAAAAGAACCAGCAGATGGCATTGCCCACAAGCTTATTGGGTACCTTTCACCCTGCCTGGAGATAAATTACACCAGGCTCAGCTTGCTACCTCCAGGCATGGAGGCTCTGACTTACAGGAGTTGGCCTTTCCTCTAGCTACCAAACTGCTGAGGGCCTAGAAAGCCCCAGCACCATGCAGCTGTATCCTGGAGTCCATCCAGTACTGCCCAAAAGAAACCTACACAGAGTTGCAAAACATTGCTGGATTTGGCTGGGAACAGTTTGATTGGTCAGGAAACCATTATTCAGGAATGTCAGAAATGTCACGGAAGAGTAAAGGAAGGTGTCCAAAGAGGATTATTTTCTGTATCCCCTGTGCTCGTGTCCTAATTTTGGGACAGTTCCCTTAGTCTGAGTAAAGGAATGTTGCCTGGTACAGCCAACACCACCCATCCCCATCCTAGCTCCAAAGTACAGCAGCTCAGACACCCTCTGCTGGGGTTTCCTTTGCTGTTCTTTGCCTAAAGGACACAATACCTAACTTTCCAGTTTGGTTTTGTGTTTTGAAGTGTCACAGTTGGCTTCAAATCAAACACATAACCACAGTAGCTTTGTTTTGTGGATAAAATAATTTTGTTTTCCTTGATTGATGGGATTTGAGTCCCAAATTTATGCAAACAAAATAAACACATGCTTCCTTTATGAAAGGAAATAGAAAAAAAAAATAGTTCTATTTCAGGAACAAAGGAGAAAATAAGAAAAGGCTCTGGTACATATTTCTGTCAACTGGAAGTCAAGAAATGGACATTTCCTGCTACAATGTGGCAGGGGAGTTGCACGCTCATGTGCATATACTACTGCACACTGACGTACCTACATACACACCCCCAGTGCTCCTGAGAGTGAGCATTACACATCTCAATAACTCTGCCAGCTTGACATCTGTGACTGAAGGTAAACTCCACCAGTTATCCTCTCAAGAGGCTCATCACTGGAAACACTGAAATGTTTTCTTTCCCACTGCCCTTAACATCAGCCTTAAGAAGGAGCATTCAGGAGCTGGAGACTGTAGAGTGGAAAATGCATTCTTCTTGCAAGGAGACCATGTACTGTTCTGCAAAGGAACTTGTTTAGCCCCCTGAAATATGTAGCAATATAGGGTGTTAAGGCTTAAAGCCTTTATCTGATGTAGGATCTTTGCTTTATGAATGAGAAAAGAACCAAAGAGATAAAGTGACTTCTTCAAAGAAATCATACAAACCTTGCTTGTCCCTCCTCCCTCTGACCAATGGAGATGGATTTCCAGTGAAAGGAATAAGATTCTAGAATGGTCTTCTGGTGTTTAGGGAGGGTGGGAGGCAGGAGTACTTAGGAAGGGAGGCAAAGCTAGGCTTCTATGGGGAGAAGGGTGACTCCTAGAACCGAGAAAGGTGAGTGGACTCCACTGGGATTAGGTACTTACTCCTCCTTAGAGTTGTTGCAAGTGTTAGTGTTGCTTCTGGCCAGGGGCCAGGTGCTGCAGGAAGGCAAGAGAACCAGGGTATGAGTGCAATCAATTTCAAGGACTAAGAACCATCATCCCCAGGTGATTATTCCAGGACATCCTATTTTCTTTCCTGAGACTTTCTGTTTGTAGGTTGAAGAGCAGAGAGTATTGCTATGCTAGGTACCTGGGTTTGAACTCATAGTCTTAAGCTCGCTCAAGCTTGCTTACTTAGCTGGTGCTCTACCACTCGGACAATGTCTCCGGGTTGGCTTTTTTGCTAGCTATTTTGGAGATACAGTTTTGAGGGCTTTTCTTTCCTGGCCGGTTTCCAACCTCCATCTTCTGGATCTCAGCCTCTTGAGAGACTGGGATTATAGAGGTGAGCCACCAGTGCCCAGAGAAGGGACAAATAATTTTTATGTGTGACTAGTTAGGTCTGGTAAAAGCTTTGGGGAAGAAGATAGATAAAACTTGACTAAATTGAGGTTTCTGAATAAGTAAGAATGAATGGTTTGAATGCTATCCAGTTTCCTGGCCTCAACTTCCTCCTGCTCAATCCTGTGCTGGGCAGTGTTTCAGGCACTATAGAAATGGACCCTCCCAGGGCTTCTTCTTTTAGGCGCTTCCATGCCTGAAGTGAAGGGCTCTCGAACCTTCTTAGGTGCCAAGATGGACACATCCAAGCAGGGGCAGTCACTTACTTACTATCCTCATCTACCCAGACGTAGCTCTCAACCCCCCCCCCCCCAACAACAATCAAAACAAACTCTTTCTTCCAATTTGTAGGGGGAAAAAAATCTGCCTGTAGAAAAATCATCTCCATTTTTAGTTTGTCTTCCCTCAGCTTCCCTACTCCTGGGATGGTCGGCCGACCCATCTATGTAAGAATCTGGAAGAAAGTGGAGGTTGGTTTTGCACAAAATTAAAATGTAAAGGTAAAATGTCCTATTATTAAAAGATTTTCCCATAGGAGAAGGTTTTGTGGCCAAAGACTTGTCTGCTAACACAATTTTTTTTTTTACATAACTGATTCAAGAAAGCCAGGTAACCTTTCTTGAAGCCAAGAAGGCAGCTTGCTTGTATATGGTCACTGCAACTCCATTGTAAAAGATGACAGGTACCAGTGGCTGACCACACTGCAGTGTGACTCCTGAAACTGGATACCCAGCCAGATGTCATTCTGACTCCTTGTGTTGGCTCTGGCTGGGCATTTCTTTCTTTCCCCATCTAACATATGGCTGCAACTGCTTGTTTCTGGGTTGGTTGTGCTCATCTGAAAAATCTTTCTAATAAACAGAAGCCCCTGAAAGATGGTGGAGATAACATTCAGCTCCAAGGATACAGTACACAGTAACAATGACCACTTTCCCTTCCTTTTCCAGGAAGCCTCGCAGGGTGATCAGCAACCATTCTGTGCCACTACATTTATCTTTCCATCCTGAACCTTCTTGCACATGACCAGGTACCTCTGATTCACTCAGGGCCTGCCCAGGATGTGGTCCTCACCCAACCCCACTGCTTGTCTGGTTACATTAGGAAATGAAAAAGGATGAAGTATCCATCTTTATTATTATAAGATTATAAGAAGGCAATTCAATCAAATTAGCTAAGGAAGCCTTTGTCCCAAAGAAATTAAACCTGTCTGGCTAGCTTGCTAAGAAACTTCTTTTCGTCTCTCCTTCCCATCTTCTCCTCTCCCTTGTCTGTCTACTACCCCTCCTGTCCTTCTGTCCGAACAGTGAAAACACTGTCTGGGTATGGGACACCCAGCCCTGGGAGCCCCTGTACAATTCCTGGTAGCCACCCAGGTAACCCTGGCTTTTACATCTCAGGAATGCCAGGGGTTTGCAGGGGCAGCTGATTGAGCTGGCCTCTCCAGCTGTCCTTTTGACCTTAGCCAGAGATTCTGACACCTTTCTCTGGTGCAGAAGCCTGAACCTGGGTCTCCTGCTGTGGTCACTGGCAAGAAATGTCCCTGAACTGTCATATTTTACCACAATGTAATGCAAAATCTGTAATATAGAGATTTCACCTCCCACACACAAACACAAACATGTAGTACAATGGTGGTACCAGAAAATCTGTCAAATTTCCCTGAGGCTTCCTCACCTTTACCCTCCAGAGGCCCTTCTGGGTCTTCTTGAGAAGCCCCCAGACTACAGACCTTCATATTGTCACTAAAGTAGACTGCACTTTCTCCAGCAAATCATATAAAGGCCATCTGTTCTCAGCAGTCACATTCACATTTTACAACTCTCAGCAGAAAGAGAAAAGATTCAGCCAAAAGAAAACTTTTCAACCCTTTTCTTTATTTTCCAAGGAGGTCTTGGTGAGAATCTCCCTGCTTGTGAGCCTGGGGGAAGCCAGCTTTCCCTCCAGGTCAGGCTTCTCCTCCCTTCCAGTCTAATCTGAGTAGCCTCAAGAAATCTCAGTATGTTCAGTATGCAACTAAGTTGACCCAGTGGCCCCTGTGTTTTCCCCTTAAACAAAGGCTGCGGGGACACCCAGGAACAAAAGCGGTAGAGATACTTCTGTGTATGCACAAAAGGTCACACTAATCCAATAGCAGCACACTATCTGTCTACCCCTCACCCCACCCAATGGTTCTTAACCTGATACAGAGTATGGGTGATCCCTCTGGAAAATTAGACAATCAGTGAACCTTCTTTCCAGAAAAAAAATGCACATACCTCTAGGCATAAAATTGTTTGTACCATTTAGGCACACCTCTCAAGTCTCCTGGTATAAAGGGCCCTGCTTTCAAGCAAGATGAAGCATAGTGCAGTCTAGGGTGATGAGGGTCCTTGATGAATTAGGTAAATGTGGCCAGCACTGTGTATTGAGTTTGAGGAACTCTGTGTAGGAGATGGGGCCTGGGGTCAAATGAGGCTGGGCTTCTTGGTTCAAGGGCTTCCTCTCCGGGGCTTTTGGAGTCTGTGTAGAGGATGCCAGAAACATTCCCCAAAGGGTGCACCCCTTCAATGAATAGCTTATATGGCTGGTGCTCTAGGGCTCCTGGGGTATCTAAGCTGGACCCATCAAAGCTGGTGCTTTCTACCTTGTCTTCCAGTGCAGGTGGCCCTTTGTCCTTTGTGATTCCTTACCTTTTCCCTCTGTCCAGTAGCTCCTGGCTTCCCAGATTGGACTGGGCATTGCTCTCTCGGGTAGATACCTCCTTAAGCTCAGCTCCCTGGAAACGCGCTAGAAAAGAATCTGGTGTCTGGTCCTCATGGTGTATGTGTCTGGCAGCCCATGCACGCAGCGAGATGACGAGGCGAGACAACCTGGAAGAACAGTCAGGGATTGGAGGAGGAAGGACAAGGAAAACCCTCTCTCTGGCCTGGAGGGACCCACTAGAAGCAGAGACCATCAACCAACAGAGCATGGTTATGATGACCTGTGGCTAGTGATTGTCTCATTCTGTTTGAGTTTTTAATTCCCCTCTCCTTTTACCCCTGCAGTCTGTGGCAGAGTTGTCTTATTTTCTCTCCCTCTGCTTCCTCCTTCTCCTTCTCCTTTTCCTCCTCTTCTTCCTTTTTCTTCATGCTAGTACTAGGGCTTGAACTTAGTTTTTTTTTCCCTTTTATTTTAGCATTGAAAGCAATTTATTATTCGAATTAAGGAATTACACATTTTGTTTTGATAATGGTCATTATCTTAAAAGCATCATTCAGTTTTCGCACATTTAAAAGTATATTGCTAATTTCAGTCAACTAACTATATGAGCCCAGAGGCTGCAGCAACAGACACTGGGGTGGGCAAAGCTGGGCTGGGGGTTTCCATAGTCCTCACTTAGCTTTTCATTTGGCTTTTCCCTTATAGCTGGTGCTCTGTCATGTGAGCCACACCTCTATTTCTGCATTTTCACTGGATAATCCGAGGTAAGAGTTTGTTGGATTTGTCTGCCCCAGCTGACTTTGAACTGTGATTCTCAGATCTCAGCCTCCTGAGTAGCTAGCATTACAGGCCACTGGAGCCCAGTTCAAGACTTCCTGATGCAGGACACAATCTCTTTATTTTGGTTTTGCCAACATTTTTTTTGTTTTTTTTGCTGGTCCTGGGACTTAACCCCAGGGTCTAGCCACTGTCCCTGAGGCTCTTTGTACTCAAGGCTAGCGCTCTACCACTTGAGCCACAGTGCCACTTTTGGCTTTTTCTGAGTAGTTTATTGGAGAAAAGAGTCTCATGGACTTTTCTGCCAGGGCTGGCATGAACCACTGGAGCCCAGTTCACGCTTTCCTGATAAAGGACACAATCTCTTTATTTTGGTTTCGTCATTTTTTTTTTGTTGGTCCTGGGGCTTGAACCCAGGACCTAGCCGCTGTCCCTGACTTTCTTTGTGGTCAAGGCTAGTGCTCTACCACTTGAGCCACAGTGCCACTTTTGGCTTTTTCTGGAGATAAGAGTCTCATGGACTTTTCTGCCTGGGCTGGCTCAAACTGTGATCCTCAGATCACAGCCCCCTAAGTATCTAGGATTACAGATGTGAGCCACTAGCAGCTGGAGGCTTCACCATTTTAATTCTACGAAGGCATGGCCTATCAAATAGGGCATTAGGAAGACTTTCTACTCATTTCTTTTGTCCAATTCAGACCTCATGTTATGACTGCTAAGCATAGGGCCTGTAATAACAATACAATTTAAAATAAGGATGAAGTATGGAACAAAGTTTAAAGGAAGAAGCATCCCCACATAGCATAGATTCTTCTTCCAATGCTTATTCCATTAATTTTTTAAATACAATTTCCACTTCTTTTCCTAAGCTCATGTAGAATTTCCTTTGCAACTTACCCTGATCCCTATCCTGGAATCAGACTTAACAAAGGAGGTGACCATAGGCTCAGCCTCTGAGACAGAAGCCCATGTCCCTGAGCTCTTCTCACAGGAGCATTCCTGTGAGAGGCCTACTCTAGTCCTGGCTCCTGTGTCTCTGCTAGAGGGGAATGGGAAGAGGCTCAACTCTGTTTCTTGGCTTCTGGTTTCCTTTATTTGGGGTCAAGGTCAGTCTTTAAAAACCTAGAACTAAGTCATGAGCTGTCACATACCTTGACCTTGTTCTTAGGCTAAAGGGATATAGTGAAGCCATTAAGTGTTCTACTTATAATGTTGAGAACCTGCTGGGCACCGTTGGAGCACACCTGCAATCTCAGGGGGCTGAGATCTGAGGATTGCAGTTCAAAGCCAGCAGAGGCAAGAAAGTTCATGAGACTCTCATCTCTGATTAATTACCCCCAAACCGAAAGTAGCGCTATGGTTCAAAGTGGTAGAGCACTAGGCTTGAGCAAAAGAGCTCAGGAACAATGCCTAGGCCCTGAGTTCGAGCCCCAAGATTGATCCCTCCTTCCCAAAAATGAGAATCACTGTTGTAAACATATTTTGAGCTGCCTGCTTGACCCAACTTCTTAGCTCTGAATACTTTCCCCCTCCTTTCTTGTGCTGAGGGAGAAGATCCAAGGTCATTCTTCCCTCTCCAGCCTCGAACAGAGCTGAACAACTGACCTACAGCAACTCAGAGCCACTCCAAGCTGGGGTTGGGGAATTCAAACCAAAAGAAAATGATCCGAGGCCCTTTTCAGCCTTGTGCTTGCTAATGGGGGAGCAGAGCAAGACAGATATGGGGGAGACACTCAAAGAAAGCACAAAGACCACATACTTCCATGAGAAGCCATTGTCTCCCAGCTTCCTCCCCTATTCCTCATTTGCTCTGCCTATATTTCCATCATTCTATATAATTAGCATGTCAGCGCCATATGATGGTACCTGCCTCAGCCTCTCCCAGACTTGCAATTCCAGAGCTTCTCTTTTCCTTGCAGCCAAAGTATCTTAAGACAGCATTTTATGCTGGGAGCCAGTGGCACACACCTAGCTACTCAGGGGGCTGAGATCTGAGGATCATGGTTCAAAGCCAGCCCCATCAGGAAAGTCAGCAAGACTCTTATCTCCACTAACCTACCCAAAAATCTGGAAGTGGAGATGCTTCTCAAGCAGTAGAGCACTAGCCTTGCGCAAAAGAAGCTCAGGGACAGTGCCCAGGCCCTGAGTTCACGCTCTAGAATTGGCACAAACAGAAACGACACAACAACCACCACCCAGAATTTCATTAGTAAAATAAAACACTGGAAATCACTTACATGTCCAGCTACAATGAGCTTGGATGAAAATTATGCTGACTACACAGATAAATTAATTTTTGGTAATAATCTTAAGGAAAAGTTATAGCACACAAGACCATGTAAAACCATAGTACCAATAAGAAAATGGAATAATGAGCTCAAAGTTTGTTAAGTACTTGGCCCTTCCTGTATAGTTTTTTTTTTTTTCGTCGGTCGTGGGGCTTGAGCTCTGGGCCTGGGCGCTGTCCCTCAGCTCTTCAACTCAAGGCGAGCGCTCTACCACTTGAGCTACAGCGCCACTTCCGACTTGGCCCTTCCTGGATCTGACACAGCCCTGGACACAGCCCCTGAGGGGTTGGCACTGTTAGGTGCATTTCTAGATTGAAGCCTGAAGTGATGGAATAATTTCTTCAGAGCCAAGCAAGGTACAGAGGGCATGAAAGGGAGGCAGAGCTCAGAGCCTTGCTAAGCTTGTAAAGAACAGGCTATGGAGTATAGACCTGTACCTGTGAGACCTGTCAGCCCTGTCTGGAACAGTGCCACCGTTAACCTCAACATCTCTGGTCCTTCCCACTTTCTCTGCCTCGTTATTTTTCTGACTTCTAAGCTCAGAACACTTGTCCCAAGAGGAGGGAAATTACTCACAGATAGATTTGGGTACTATTCTGACTCTTTAACCCCACCCCCATGCAGCAGATACAGCTGCCTTTCTGCCCCAGCCTCCCCTTTCCCAAAGCAAAGGCTCGGACTGGTCAGTTACCTGGCAGGTGTCTGGCTAGTGAAGGAGCTGTGCCTGGGTCCAGCTGACACTCTGGTCTCCATGGCGGTCTCTTCCTGCAGTGCAGATGATGTCTCCTCACATGGTGAGTGGACCCTAGGAAATCAAATATGCAGCATGCTAAATTGATTTTAAGCTCATCCACCTCCTGAATAGTCAGGAGTGAGATGGACAGATGCCCGCCTGCCACATAATGAGAGCAAACATCCCAGATCCTCTACCCAGAAACCCTCCCATTTCTGCCATTTCTGTTCACTTCCAGCAGATCTTTACTTTTGGACTATGGTGACCTTTTGTTTTAGTGGGTTTAAATTTAGAGCTTTGTTCTACCACTTGAGCCCATCTTTTTTGTTTTAGTTTAATTTTTAGATAGGGTTGTGTTTTTGTTTTTGTTTTTATCCAGAGCTGGCCTCAGACCTTGATACTCCTACCTTGTCCTCTTGGGTAGCTGAGATTATAGGTGTGTACTACCATGCCTGGACCAAGGTAATCAGTGTGTGTGTGTGTGTGTGTGTGCATGTGTGTTATTAGGGTCTGAATTCAGGACTTCATGCTTAGTAGGAAGGTGCTCCACTACTTGAGCCACAACTCTAGCCCCCAAGGTAAACCTTCTTTACAGCAAGTTTGATCAAAGAGCAAAGCTCATGTCCAGCTAGTGTCCAGTAGTTGGACGAATGTTGGGGAGAGAGGCAAGGGAAGCTGGAAGCAAATGTTGACAGGGTCCTCATCAGAAGGTAGAGCCTCAGGAAGGTCTCCTTGATTTTCATCTCAACTATACAACCTGTTTTGACAAAATACTTCCATAATGAAGATTTGTTTTTGTTTCAACACATCTCTGCAATCTAAGTCCAGAGCAAATGCAATCTCCTTTTAGAAGTTTCCTATCCACTGTGTGGGCTGTGGGTGCATTTCCCTGGCAGCTATGTGCATGCTTGCCTGGCAGCCATCTGTAACTGTAAGGATCTGGCAAGACCCAGATAATTGCCTAGACTTGGCATCCTCTAAACACAGTACAGCTTGTATGATGCTTTCAAAAGCGAATCCAGTTTTATATATTTATTTATTTTTGTTGGTCATGGGGCTTGAACTCTGGGCCTGGGCGCTGTCCCTCAGCTCTTCAGCTCAAGTCTGGCACCCTACCACTTGAGCCACAGAGCCACGTCCAGCTTTTTCTGCTTATGTGGTGTTGAGGAATCGAACCCAGGGCCTCATGCATGCGAGGCAAGCACTCTACCATTGAGCAAACTTCCCAGCCCCAAATCCAGTTTTCTTTTTGCCAAACCTTGGTCTCTGCCCCTGCAATGCAGGTTAGGGGCAATGACACACTTGTGTAATTCAGTGTCGAAAGCCCTGCACAGACCCCACAGGGTGCCCTTCTGTAGGAACAACAACCTATCACATCAGCAGCAAAGCCTTGAACTTTCAGGAATAAAAACCAGGAATGGGTTTGTCTATGTTTTCCTTTCTTTTAAAACCTCCTAAGACTACATTTGATCAGCTTGATTAAAAGCCAGTCAGGCACTGGGCTCTGGAGATTTGCTCTTCATTCTACAAGTCTTGTGGAGCCCTGGGAAGGCAAATTAATTCTATCACAGGGCCCATTCCAATCTAATCGGCTTTCTTAACAAGGTGGTTGAAGGAGGAGTCAAGAATTAACATCAGGGAGAAGCTGCAGTCTCTCCCTGGAGTGATTAGAAGTCAGGCTCTTTGAATCCCAGGTGCTGAGCTATGCTGTGGCCATCCTCCTCCCCCCCCCCCCCCCCTTCTCTCTAGCACCGGGGAGCTCACTTCCATGCCAGGGCCTATCTAGGCCATCTTTACAAGCCCTGACTGCCAGCATGTACCTTCTTTCCTCCTTGTCCCCAGGCAAGGCTACTTTTTTATGCTGGAAACAGCGTCAGACAGCTTCATCTTCACTGACAGGGACCTGTACAGCATCAGCTGTCCCTGGGTTCATATTTTCTTCCCACCATAGCCATTTTCCTGTAACCATATATCTCAGGTCTAGCTTGGCTGGGCAGAGAGACTGAGACCATCTTTTCTTAATATATATTTTTATTGTAAAGATACCATACAGAAGGGTTATAGTTACATGAGTAAGGCAATGAGTACCTTTCCTATTGAGCATTGTTACCCCATCCTTTGTTTTTCCCTTACCATTCCTTCTTTCCCCACCTCCCCAACTCCTCCCCCGGCCCCGAAGTTGTAAAGGTTCATTTTCAACATAGTGTCTTGTACATCACTGAGACCATCTTGACATTACCAATTACAAGCCAAGAAGTGTTCATTGGTTTGTATGTTTTTGGTAGTCTTTGGTGGTCACCAGCCACCATCAGTCAAAACCCAGGCTACTGCTGAAGCAGATGGCTCTAGCTTGAGCACAAGCACTTGATTTTGAGAATTGAGTACTGACATGCAGAGAACTCAACTTGCCTTTCCTCCCAACACCATTTCACTCACAGGTACAATATTCAAACCACATATTGTTTATTAATAGTCTACAGGGTATCAGCTACAAGCACTCTACCATTGAATCCACACAGCAACCCTTTCCTAGAGGAAGTGGAAGTCTAGGGAGGTTAAATACTTATTTGAGATCACAAGGGCCAAACAGCAAAACTGACATTACAGTGTCATTCCATTCCATTCCCAAACCTGTTCTCATCCTCCATGAAGCTGCCCTTACTATTTTCCCATAAAGCCCAGGTGAAAATGGGACATGGCTGAGGAATGGGGCATGCCACTAAGGACATTACACTGATCCATCTTGCTGAACTACGTGGTATGGCTCTTTATTTCCAACCCATCTGGCTGGGATCTCCTCCTTTACCATATGTGGCCACTCACATCTCATCCATCTACATAAAGACCCTGCTGCAGTTTAGATTCTATAGTTCTTTACCTCTCTGATGTTCTGTAGATGTACCTCCCAAGAGGTACTCAGTTACTGGGGGATAAGTGAATCTCTGGATCTGAGCAGCTGCACGAGCAGTTAATCTGGCTTCTTTTTGTTGCAGGAAAGCACACCATGAGACCAGATTTATCTGCATCTGTGACAAAGAACTCAGTGCTTATGACATCAGGCGTGGTGGGCAGGTGAAGATGGCAGAACCCACTCTACCACTCTCATCCAAAGCAACCCTGTGGAAACCAGCAGGCTTGTAGACTTGAGTTGCAGTAGCTCCTAGTGACTGGATGTTCTGCACATCGGTCACCTGTTCTCTTTGAATTGAAGTGTCCTGATCTTCATAGAAAAGATGAAGCAAAAGTTGGCAATTTGATGTTGCTTTAAATACTGCTCAAACACTGACTCCTGGAAAGGCACACTTAGCCCCAAAGAACAGAGAGAACTTTCTCTGGCATATATTCAAAGGGCCAATGAAACCTTTTCTTCCCAATGCATCTCTCTGCTTTTTTTTTTTAGTCCAGGCTTCGACTCAGGGCCTGGTGCTCCTACTTGGCTCTTTCACTCATCTAGTGCTCACACCTCTACTGTCTTTTTGGTGGTTGAGATAAAAATCTCACAGACTTTTCTTGGCTTGGCTTCAAACTGTGATCTTAGATCTCAGGCTTCTGAGTAGCTAGAATTATATAGACCACCAAGGCCTAGCTATCTTGATTCTGCCAGATTGATGTCTTCCTTTTAGCTCCAGAGTCTTGGCAAATACCAGGACTTATATACACTGTAAACCTAATTGTATTCATGCACCCCACATTCCAGTCAACAAGGAACCAGATAGATAGATAGATAGATAGATAGATAGATAGATAGATATAGGTATAGATATAGATATATCTCACAGTAATCCTATCAGATTATAATGGAGCTGAAATATTCCTATCATCCAGTAATGTTGCATACTCTGGTGATGACACCTGGGAAGGAAAAGGCCCCCAGAAGTTGGCAAAGATAAGAGCAAAAGCAACTACTGCAACACAATGAAGCAATTGCTTTCAAAGAGGGGAGGAGTTGAAACTCTATGCTTATTTGCAGAAAGGAACTAGTGTTGGTGAGGTACAGGTTTCCTTTATCCTCTGCCATTGGGCAAGGACAGAGTTTATCATGAGAACTTGACTGGTAATTAACTCTCTCCTTTGTGGAACAACTGGTATTTTCCTTTAGTGACTTTGGGAACATGGGAATAGACATAGGTGACCTCTTGGCACAAGACTGGAGAAGATGACACCTCATTCTCCTCCTCTTCTCAAGCCCCAAGGATCTTGAATGATTGGAATCTACTGCCATTGGCCACATGTGGCCTGGAACTGAAGCCAAAGCATTTTAAGTCTTTGGTCCTGGAGAAGCCCGTTGAAAATGGCTTTCTCTGGTGATAATTGATTTGGCTACACTCAGGGAGTAGCACAAAGAAAGCCTCTTTTCTGTAGAAGCTGCAAAGCTTGCTCAAAATAGCTATACCAAGAGGTGGGTCAGGATTCAGGGTGCCCTTGGTTCTCACTGCAATTCTCAGAGCATATTTTTTAGTCTTTCTCTGTTGAATTATCCTCAAAAATATGCCATATGGTTCCTAGAGAATTGAACCAAATAGAACTAAGAAGACACGAAAACCTCCGTAACATTTTTTTCCCCTGGAATTTCAGACTATAATTATTTGTTCATTCAAAGGAAGCATTTTCACCCTTTTAAAAATTGCTTTCCACTAGGAAAAATAACTCTAATAACTCAATAAAGAGAAACAGAAAACTGGGCCTCCATTTTGATGCTTTGGTGAAAGACCTAAGGGCAGGAATGTCTCAGGGGACAGAAATGTGCTAGGCAGGTGTTCTACCATTTCAACCATATGCCTCTAACAGTCTTCTTGATATAATTAAAGATCAACAGTCATTAATACTTCAGTATACAAAAGTCTCAATTCTTTATCTTAAAAGCTTTCCAAAAGGACTGGAATTTTAAAACACAGATGTAATTTTGCCCAAATGCCATTTCTCTTCCTAAAATAATAATTTGAAACTTAAAAGCATTGTGTGTGTATGTTGCCATAGTCCTGTGTTAAAGCTGAGCAATGTACCAGTTCCCTACCTTTGTTTTTTTTCTTTTTTTTTTCAACTAGGGTCTTATGTTGATGGTTGGGCCATCCTGGATTTCAGTACTCCTATTTATGCAGGCACTGACCACCATGCCCATCTTTTCTTGTTTTAATTTAATTTTATTGTAAAGTTGCTGTACTGAGGGGTTACAGTTACATGAGTAAGGCAATGACTACATTTCTTGTCAATCATTGTAACCTCTTCCCTTGCTGTTCTCTTACTATTCCTTCCCTCCCCCACCCCTGCCCGAAGGTGTAAAGTTCATTTTCCAATATACTGTCTTGTGGGTATCATTGTTGCAACGGGTCATCCTGTGTCTAGTAACATGGCTTCAGAACTTCACACTCTCATTTTGCTGTCTCACTCATGGCTTGAGCTCTGTCTGATATTTTACTGAGTAATTTGGAGATATAGTCTTGTTGACCGTTTTTTTTTTTGCCCTTATTAGCTTTGAGCTACAATCCTCCACATCTCAGCTTCTTGAGTATCTAGGTTTATAGGCATGAGCTACCAGCACCCAGCTGGTCCTGTCCAATACCTTTAAGTCATTCTTCCTACATGGTCAAGGTCGGCTATGGAAATAATCTGTGACTCGCCTCAGACAAAGCCCATCTCACCTGAGGCCATTTTCAATGCAGTTGAGATCTCTGTCCATGCTCTTTACAGTAAGGTGAGCCAGGGAGGGTTGGGAGTACTGGGTATTGACCTTGGCCATCTTCTTGCTAGTCACATTCAGCTCCAAAGTGGCTGCTAAAAAGTAAACACAAATGGGAGAGAGTATCAAGGCAGGGAAGAAACTACAAAGCCAGCTCAGGGTAGACAGAACTATTCCCAAAGGCCTCCGCAGGCACACTGTGGTTCAGATGATGTCTTCCATCTTCTTTTGTGGCTCTTTAGGTACACTGTGTTCCTGTTGTGTGTCATCTCTGGGCTATTTCAAGCCAGAGGCACAAACAAGGTATATTTTTAAAATATTTTTTTCTCTGTCAGTACCAGAGCTTGAATGTTTAGACTTGAGCTCTCACTCAGCTTCCTGCTCATGGCTGGCTCTCTATCACTCAAACCTTGCCTCTAGTAGAACATTTTGTTGGTTAATTGGGAATGGAGTTTCATGAACTTTTGTGTCTTAGCTGGCTTTGAATTGTGATCCTCCAGGTCTTAGCCTCCTGAGTAACTCCAATGCCTGGCTACAATCAAGGCCTTAACTCCTTTGCCTATGCCACATGCCAAAAAGCTGCTCAGAGTGCAGTGCTCAACAGATGAATAAAAGAATGAACAAACAGCCATCCCTTGGCACATATTTTAATTGCTCCCTAAATACTTTTCAACACAAAGTGTGAAAAAGTAATAATATGAGGCATTCAAAAAGCCTTCACAAAAGATAATGCAAAACCCCCAAATATACTACACCTCACTTTATTTAATCCTCATAGATATCTTCATCCTTGTTCATAGATGACCCAAACAGATTCAGAGATATTTGGTAGTTTATTCAAACAAACCACTAAATAAAACCTACCAATGTGACATGTTCTGCTCACCACTTTTCTACTTTTCCTCTGTGGAGGATGTTGAAAAGTCTCATTATGATTGAAGAGAAAAGAAAGCTGCTTACGAGGGCACAGCTACTGTGCTAGGCCCCCTCTATAATTTCAGCACTATTCTTCCAGTTGGAAGATAAATTCCCGAGGAGGGGCTCACTAAAATAGACCTGCACAGGCTTTCTTGAGCAGACACATGGCTCATGTGTATCAAATATCAGTAGACAGCACTCCACAGAAAGATGGCAATTTCTAGAAATAGCCAGTGACTCATCCCAGACTAAATTAATTTTGCATCCAAAGGAAGGCCAACTCGAGGAGCCTAAGCAGCCCCAGGGGTCTGGCCTCACACCACAAGGTCAATGTAGCCCCAAGTTACTCAAAGGCTGCTGCTGGCACAGCTGGGTCCTAACCCATCGTTCATGTTTCCAAACTTAAGCGTATAATTTGAGTTTTTGTAATTTCTAAAAAAAAATAATATAAAACCTGTTTTCAAAGGATCTGACTGTCTAACGAGTCAGTTGACACAACAGAGTTGTCTGCAGGATGTGCCAGGAAACTTGAGCTTCTCCCCAGAGCCCAGAGGGGATATAGTCAGATAGGCAAAGGCCTCTCTAGCTATACAGGGAGGATGGGTACAGGGACCTGAGGGGTGGATGGAGTGAGCAACTGAAGGCTGCTACAGTATCTCAAGGGAGAGAGAATATCCTGAACTAGACAAGAACTACCTGAACTACCTGAACTAGGTAGAGAAATGAATTGGACAAATTAAATACTAGCAAGTGACCAAGATCAGCATATTTGGCATTGACTCACCATAAGGAGGCAGTAAAAGAGGAGATGCTGAGCATGATGCACTGACCGCTGGCTTAGAGATCCGATGGTACTGTCTATCCACTGCCTGAAGAAGGGAACTAGAGGAGGGATGGGTTTGATGAAGAGAATAAGAAGCCAGTGGAATGAATAAGTTTTCCACTACAAGCAATTAACCCAGTTTGAAAGAGGATATTCAACACTTTTTATTGAGCAGTTATGAGACAATATACTAGGACCTGTTTTGTTTTGTTTTGTTTTTGTCGGTCATGGAGCTTGAACTTTGGCCTGGGCGCTGTCCCTCAGCTCTTCAGCTCAAGGCGAGCACTCTACCACTTGAGCTACAGCACCACTTCTGGTTTTCTGGTGGTTTATTGGAGATAAGAGTGCCACTTTCCTGCCTGGGCTGGCTTTGAACCATGATCCTCAGATCTCAGCCTCCTGAGTAGCTAGGATTATAGGCGTGAGCCACCGTTGCCCTGTGGGTCTGGGGTTTTATCAGATAACAATGTATACTCTGTCCTCTCTCCAAGGAGCTTAACTATCTAGTAGGGGCCCAGACTAAGTTTTAAAGAAGTTTTGGGGTTCTGTGGAAAAGCTACCAACTTACTTTTCTTTGTGTATTTACAGGAAGATTGCCCTCAAATAAAGGATATTACCTCCAGCCTTGGCAACTCTCCTCAGCCCCCTCGGCTGCATCCTCCACACTGGACACAAATCCTGGTCCCCATGCCACAATTGTGTATTTTGAATCAAGATTTTCTATGCATGTCTCTTGTTTCCCTTGGTAGCAAAAAATTAATTGTCTTACACTTTCCTGTAGTGTAGATTTTTGCTTATTCCAACTCAAAACCATTTTCCACATACTAGAAATTATACTGAGATTTAGTCAAATTTAGAGATAATGGTAAGATAATTTCATAGAGGTCACTGTTTTTTAATCAAAAAGCCCATGATGCCAGGCACTGGTGACTCATGGCTATAATTCTAACAACTTAGGAGCTGAGATCTGAGCATTATAGTTCAAAGCCAACCTGGGCAGGAAAGTCTGGGAGACTCTTATCTCCAATTAACCTCCAAAAAAGCTGGAAGTGGAGCTGTGGCTCAAGTGGGATGAATCCTGAGCAAAAAAACTCAGGGACAGGAAGCGCCCAGGCCTTGAGTTTAAGCCTACGTCAGGCAAAAAAATGCCCCCCCCCCAAAAAAAAACCCCACAAAAAACCCAGCCCATAATGTCTGTATTTCTTTGCATGATGTACACCAATTTATTAGAGTTTGTAAGTTGGTGAATTTTGCTATTCATTCAGTTAGCTAAGATAATCTTAAAAGAGAAAGTGTCATGTTATTTGTTACTTGGTGGATCAGTGGTAGGAAGGTAAAACAAATACTTAATTCTTTCCCTTTATTCATGTATTTATATTTTTAAGCCAAGACATCTGAAGAGAATATGTAGTGGCCCTACATGTTTGCTCATCTCCTGATTCTGATAAACTGTAGGAGAACTCACCCAGGAAACCACGAAAACACAGCCAGTGATTTCACAGTGGCTCTGAAGAAAATGAAAACTACCATACAGCCAGAGCCCCCCAGTGTGAAGGACTGCCAAGTCTTTTTGCTGTTAATCCTCAGGAGCTCTAAGAGGCAGGAGCAATGCTGATTTTGCAAATGAGGAAAGGGAGGCTTGGATCTGTCTCACTCTGAAATCTCTCCTGTGGTTTGCTTTGTTTTGTTTTGCTGTTTACCATATCCATGGCAGGAGACTAGAAATGCACAGACATAACTTTATTTTCTGCCAGCTAGGAAAGTGACCTTGAAGTGGATTACTGGAACAAATCCAGGAGTAGTTTGTGAGCATCTCTCAAATGAGTTTGTTTTCCAGGATTTGATCAGAGATCTAAGAACACATCATTTTAGACAATGTGCATTTTCTTTGCCATATGATTAAATGCAACCTGAGCCTTTCCCCACAATGTCCTCAAGGACTATGAGCATGAAGGATGCACTTGAAAGATATAAAGACTGGTCTTTAAGAAGCAATAAATAAATGGAGAAAGATCTCTTGTCCATAGATGGGATCTAATTATGGCTTATTCACGTACTGGAATGTCATCTCCTAACAACAACAACAACAACAAAAGTAAAATGGTGATTCATGCTATGGTATGGAACACTGGAAACAACACACCAAGTTGAAGAAACCAGACATCGAAGGCCACATGATTTCACTTATAGAAAAATTGTAGAATAGGCAAATCCATCAAGATAAGAGTTGTCTGGCAGGAGTAGGGACAATATGAAAGGGGAGGATGCTAACAGGTACATGGTTTTCTTTGGTGGAGTATTTAAAAGTTCTAACTTTTATTGTGGTGATGGATATAAAACTGTGAATAGAATTTTAAAAAAGCAGTATACTTGCCATGTATGCCTTCTGTGGCATGTGAACTATAGACTTAAAAAGAAGTAGTGTTTAATATAAAATTAAAACACCTTAAAATGCAAACATCTGCTCTAACTGGCAAAATATAAACCCAATAGGGAAATGTCAAGAGGCAGCTTCATCTTACCATCTACCATCATCATTGTTATCATCATTATGGCATTTTTTGAGGATGTCCACTATGACATGCCCTATTCTACAATATTCACTTATATCAGCTCATTTATTCCTCATAAAACCCTGTAAAGAGATGCCATTACCATTCTTACTTTACAGATGAGCAAAACTGAAGTACAGAGTTCACACAGCCAGGGCCATCTAATTAGACAGTATTAATTCAACTGTAGAGCCTGCAGGCTTAATTCCCTGCCCTTCCAAACAAGGTCAATTTCTGTGACTAGTAAGTATCACAGCTTCCCATACCTGCCTAAGAAAGGTCCCAAGGGCATCTCAGGTCTTAGAAGATGGGAGTATATTCAGCTTTGCCCAGGGCTGAAGTGGCAGGGGTGGGAGCGAGGAGAATGGGAGTCAGAATTCTTTTCTCCCTTTCTGAGGAGTGGACATAGACCATCTCACACCCAACAATATTCCTGCACTAAGATGAGGAGAATGAATCTGAGTTAGGAGAGTTGAGTTGTTTCCCCCAAGAAATCATCTCATGGCTGAGAGACAGAATTCTTCCGCTGAGAGACAGAATTCTTCCTGTTCTAACTTCAGGCAGTGTGAGAAACAAGCAAACAGAAGTTTCCAAATGTCATCTGCAAAGTTTCAGCTTCTGAAACTTTGAACTTGAGGACACTGTTCTCAAGAACAGAAAGAGATTTGGAACGAGAGAAAAATGCACTGGAATTGGAAGGAGATTAACTATTACATTACTCAACAAAGGAGCTCAGAGGCCTGTCTCATAGCTAGAAAGTGTCTCAA